GAGGTAACTATCAGGAGGAAGTGGGAGAGGAGCTGTTGCACTGGGGTAAACTGTAATCAATGTCATGAGACAAAATGTATGTGAACTTCTGTATGGAAAGTGAATTTGCTATGTAAACTTTCACCCAAATCACAATTAAAAAAAAAAAAGAAGAAGAAGAAGAAACTGTCAGAGTTTCGAACTGGTTTCTGGTCAGTTCAGTCATGGCCAAAGAAGTGTCACTGGAACAGATCTCCTTTTTTTCGATTACACAGAACTGGAAAGATAGCCAGAAAGGGAAAAATGACAGGTCAAAGTCTTGCTAGAAAGTTCATCTCCCTCTCAAAAAAGGGCAATATAGGCATAACATATAAACCAGATTTCTTGCCCTGAGATTTTGAGCACAGCCCAAAGCAGCACTGCCCTGTTTAACGATGGTGGGACCCAAGTCAAAGATGGCATGTCTTGCTCAACGACAGCAGCTGACTGGATTACTTTGAATGTGTGTCACTCTCCAATAATCTAATCTCATGCATCCAACTCATGAAAAGGCTCACTAGGCCTCTTCCCAGTCTCTCATTCTAGCAATTCAACCCCTAATTTTTGGGTACCATGCTGAATCTACCAAATTGTAAAACTTCAGGACTCCGATAAAGGACTTTTATCCACAATATGCAAGTATTTCTTCCAACTCAATACAAAGACATATAACCTGATTTTTTAAAATGAGCAAATACTTGGATACTTCAAAGATGATATATAATTGGTAAATATGCACATGAAAAGATACCCAACATTATTAATCACTTGTTGTTGTTGTTGTTGTTATGTGCCGTCGAGTCGGCCCCGACTCATAGCGACCCCTCCTTGGGTTTCCGAGGCAGTATCACTACGGAAGTAGGATTGCCCAACCTTCCTTCCGGGGAGTGGCTGGTGGGTTTGAACCGCCAGCCGTCTGGTTAGCAGAAAAGTGTCTTAGCCACTATGCTACCAGAGCTCCCTTATTAATCACTAGAGGAATGTAAATTAAAACCACAATGATATAATACTATATATTCATTCTAATGGCTACCAAATGTTAACAAGGATGTGGTGCAAATGGAACTCTCATATCTCATGAGAAAGTAAAATAGTACAGCTACTTTAGGAAACAGTTTGACCATTTCTCATAAAATTGAGCATGCACTTACAGATACCAGCAATCCAAATCATAGATATTTACCCAAGAGAAATAGTCTACATCCACACAAAGTTCATGTCCACACAAAATTTATGCAAACGTTCACAGCAGCTTTATTCATAATAGACCCAAACAGGAAACAACCCAAATGTCATCTAGTGGGAAATGGATGATAAATTGCGGTATATCAATACAATAGAATACTACTCATCAATAAAAAGGAACAAACTACAAATACAAAAAAAGTACAAACTACTGATATGCATTAACAACATGGATGAATCTCAAAAGCAGTATACTAAGTCAAAGAAGCCAGATAGAAAAGAATAGATACTGTTTGATTATTAATATGGAATTATTTGGAAGTCAAAATTATAAAAAGCAATGATAGTCTGTGGCTGCAGCTGAGGTAAGGAGACTGACTAAAAAGCTCATTTTGGGGTGATGAAAATGTCCTATTTTTTGACTTTCGTTGTGATTGCACCCCTCAACACAACTGCCAAAAGTCAAACTGTTTGCTTAAAATGGATAAATTTTACTATACGTAAATTAAGTTACTAAAGGCACTATTTTGTCTTGAATTTAATTTTCATCTCTTTATTCTGTGCTCTACTTAAATTGTTATCTTACTAACTTAAACAAGGTTCGTGGGTTATATCTTAATTTTTATTCAAAAATTACAGTCACTGAAAAATACCAGGATTGTGATGTTCAGGGCAAGCCATTCAGGTGAAGATATTCATGAAGTAGTTGTAAATATGCCCCTATAACTTTGGTGAGAAGCTAGAACAAGAGATATAGATTTGGGACTCATCTATAGAAAGTTAGCAGAAACCACGGAGTTGATAAAATGCTATCATATTTTTCACATATAATGCATCAATGGAAGTAATGTGTACAAGCATATAACATGCACACTGAACACAGGAAACTCATGCAAGGTGGTTGCATGATTTGAAAAAAAAAAAACCATGTAACATACACGTTAGTTGTGTAAAAATACGGTTCTTTTTTCTTACTGTTACCTCTCACTTCCTTTTAATCCATAGAACCACAGGAAATGCTTAATCAAATCTGAAACAAATGAATGACTTCAATTTTCAAAAGATCAACTTTTCCATCAGATCTAAGAGATAACCACTAAAACCACATTTTCCACATATTTATATCTTCAGATTTAGATATTTCACCTGGTTTAATTTTTCAGTGTGACTCATCCTTAAAGTCTCCATTGTATTTGATTTGGAAGGCTCGTCCATGTTCAATATTTGCTTTGGTGGTTCCATGTTTGAAGTGAGTTGTGAAAAGCACACCCTTGATATGGGGGAGCTTGGAGACAATGTTTCTTGCGGTTTCATTCTAAATGGCTGGGCAAAAATTTTACCTTTTGTGAATAAAAGGAGAAAGAAAAATTGTGACTAGTGATTTCTAATCTACATTCTGGTAGTTACATAAAGAGGTTACAGTGAGCTACTTACAATCTTCAACTTAGAACTTAAAATTAAGAGAAGTTAGTTAACAATTTCATATTCTGCCAGTAAAATCTGCATACAATGTGATTAGTTATCTATGGAAGAAAACCAAGAAATCTTAAGTGTGCTAATGAAGAGGTTAATGCTATCAAAAATTCCACTTAAGGTCACTTGAATATAATTAGAGAGGTAGGATTTAATGGGTAAAAACTTAAAAAGCTGTACCCTGTTTAGGAGACCAAGAAGTTTCCAGGTAAGGAGTCTGCTTTGAACTACACTGCTCAAACTGGATAACCACACAAATAGTATGTGGGGAGTAACAGCAAGGGAGACTCAGTGAGATGGACTGGCACAATAGCAGCAATGACAGACTCAAAAATTCTGAAGATCCTAAAGATGACACAGAACCAGGTAATATTTTTTTCTGTTGTATATAAGGTCACCATAAATCAAGGTCTACTCAAGGGCAGCTATCTATCATCTAATATGTGGGGGAATTAGAAAGATACAGAACAAAGATTATTTTCCAGTATAAATTTTTTTCTTCAAATTCATAAGGAGGGCAAATACCACTGGAGAGGTGTATACTGTTGTACAATGTGAAAAATATGTCACTGAGCCTCACCATGGGCTAGCTCTTTCTTTACTCTGAGATCATGCTCACATACACAGCACAATTACTTCTAAGCTATTCTGCTTACAGGAAGAAGGGGCCGTGGAAGAGGTACGTGAACAACCCAATCACTGGGAAAGAATATCCACCCCCACTAAGTTGGCAAGGTACTTGATACAACTCAACCTTTTTTAAGTTTGATAGCATAAGGTGTTGTTGTTAGGTGCTGTTAAGTCAGCTCTGACTCACTGTGATCCTATGTTGCTATGAAACGAAACACTGCATGGTCTGTTGCCATCCTCACAATCCTTGCTATACCTGAACCTGTAGTTGCAGTCACTGTGTCAATGCATCTCATTGAGGGTCTTCCCCTTTCTACTAACTCTCAACTGTACCAAGCATGGTATCCTTCTCTAGGAATTGATCCCTTCTGACAAAATGACCAAAGTACACGAGACAAAGTCTAGCCATTCTTGCTTCTAAGAAGCATTCTGGCTGTACATCTTCCAGGGCAGATTTTTTCATTCTCTGGCAATCCTGGATTTTCAGTATCCTTTGCCAACACAATTCAAAGGCAGCAACTCTTTTTCGGTCTTCCTTACTCACTGTCCACTTTTTACACCCATGTGAGGCAACTGACAATACCATGGTATGGGTTGGGTGCAACTTACTCTTTCTTCAAAGTGACATCTTTGCTTCTTAAGACTACATAAAGGTCTTTTGCAGCAGATATGCCCAGTACAGTACATCATCTGAATTCCTGATTATGGATTCAAGTAAAATGAAATCTCTGACGATTTCAATCTTTTCTCCATTTATTGTGATGTTGCTTATTGGTCCTGTTGTAAGGATTTTCATTTTCTTTAGGTTAAGATGTAATCCACAGTGAAGACTATAGTCTTTAATATTCCTCAGTAAATGCTTCATCTTCACGTTCAGCAAGCAAGGTCATGTCATCTTGCATATCGCAGGTTGTTAATAAGTCTTCCTTCAATCCTGATGCTGCATTCTTCTTCATATAGTCTAGCTTCTCAGATTGCTCAGCATACAGATTGAATAAGTATGGTGAAAGGATGCGGAAACGATGCATTATCCCCTTGTTCCTTCGAACAACAGCCTCTTGATCTATATTAAGATTCCTCATGAGCACAATTAAGTGTTCTGGAATTCTCATTTGCAATGTTATCCATACAGGTTATGATATACACAGTTGAATGTTTCTACATAGTCAAAAGTACACAGGTGAACATCTTTCTGATATGCTTTGCTTTCAGCCAAGACCCATCTGACATCAGCAATGTTATCCCTCATTCCACATCCTCTTCTGAATCCAGCTTGAATTTCTGGAAGTTCCCTGTCAACAAACTACTGCAATGGTTTTTGAAATATCTTCAGCAAAATTTTATTTGTGTGTGATATTAATGATATTGTTCGATAATTTCCACATTCTGTTGATCACCTTTTTGGGACACAAATATGAATCTCTTCCAGTCAGTTGGCCAGGTAGCTGTCCTCCAAATTTCTTGGCATAAATAAGTAAGGGCCGGTAGTGTTGCATCAGTTTGTTAAAACATCTTAATGGGTATTTGTTTTTCGCAATTCCTTCAGTGCAACTTGGATTTCTTCCTGCTGGTTCCTGACCATATTCTACCCCCTATAACAGTGAATCAACCAATTCTTTTTGGTTACACAGTGACTCTGTGTATTTCTTCCATCTTCTTTTGATGCTTCCTGCATCATTCAATATTTTGCCTGCAGAATCCTTCAATATTGCAACTTGAGGCTTGAATTTTTTCTTCAGTTCTTTCAGCTTGAGAAATGTCAAATGTGTTCTTCTTTTTGGTTTTCTCACGTCATGTCTTTACACACTTCATTTATAATACTTTACTTTATCCTTTCAAGCCATCGTTTGAAATCTTCTGTTCAGCTCATTTCTTCCATTCACTTTAGCTACTCTACATTTAAGAGCAAGTTTCAGTATCTTCTGACATCCATTTTGGTCTTTTCATCCTTTCCTGTCTTTTTTTTTTTTAAATGCATTTTATTGAAATATAATTTATGTACAGTGAAATACACAAAATTAAAGTGACATGGGTCAATATATATATATATATTTTTTTTTTTTGCAGTGTTCCTTCCCCTCTCCTCCCACCCCTGGCAACCAACAAAGAAAGTTTCCCTCCGTATATAAACCTTTCCTTGATAGCATAAGGTGGTGTTGTTAGGTGCTCCACAACAACAAACTAATACTGTATTTGTCCTCTGTGATTGACTTATTTCACTTAGCATAATGTCCTTCAAGTTTATCCATATTATGCAGTGTTTTGCACACTCTACATTATTCTTTAGTGCTGCATAGCATTCTAGTATGTGTATGTCCATTGTTTGGTCATCCACTCTTCCACGAATGGGCATGTAGCTTGTTTCCATCTTTCTGCTACTGTAAAAAGTGCTATGATGAACATGAGCATGCATGTATCTGTTCCTATCCTGGTTCTCACCTCACTAGGCTATATTCCTAGTAATGGGATTGCTGGGTCAAATGGTATCTCCAATTCCAACTTTCTAAGGAATTGCCATATTGCTTTCCACAGTGGTTGTATCACTTCATAGTCACACAAGCAGTGTATGAGAGTCCAAATCTGTCCACATTCCCACCAGCATTTGTTATTTTCTGTCTCATTGAACCTTGCCATCAGTGCTGGGGTGAGACGGTATATCTCGTTGTTTTGATTTACATCTCAATGATGGCCAATGTTTGTGAGCATCTTTTCATGTATTAGCTGACCATCTGAATATCCTCCTTGGTGACGTTTCTATTCATGACTTCTGCCCATTTTTCAATTGGATTGTTAATTCCTTTGGTGTTCAGCTTTGGAGTTTTCCATCAATCTGAGAGATAAGTCCCTTGCCAGATATGTAATTATCAACAAATATGAATTTGTTGCTGTCATTTTTGTCATGTGCTTTTTCATTGTGTCAATATCTTTGTTCCATATAATTTTCTATGCTGAGCTCATTTTGTTTATGAATCATGTTATCACTTCCTTCACTGCTATTGTTTTAGTATTTGCTGAATATTTATGATGGTCCTCTTTTTTATTTTGATGTGAAGGTTTATCATTTTTCTTTGAGGTTACCCTATGATTTATTATTTTCTTCCCAAGTGTAGAACAGTCCGTTCTATCTTGTAGTTGTCTTGACTTCCCTACCATCTACAAGTTCTGTAACTACACAGATTTTTTTCCCCTCTTTTTGGTTTGTAGTTGTCCTCATTTGTCGGTTGGTGTCCCTGGTTCCCTGTTTACAATCTTCTAGGCTTATTCACTTTGGATACTTCCATAACTGGGTTGGTTTCTGGGTTATATCATCATGTGTGTTAATGGTCAGTTGTTGGTTGTTGTTGCTTCTCTGTCCAAAGGGCTCCCTTTAGCATCTCTTGTAAGGTTGGTCTGGTTTTAACAAATTCCCTTAATTTCTGCTTATCTGGAAATGTC